CAGTCACTTGTTAACTATTTCACTGGTGGATGGACCCAGACAGTGTGTATTTCAATGGGTCTGTGACACAAGAACATACAGGGGCCTTACCAAACAAGCAGCACAAAAAACAATAATGGAGTGCAAAGGCTGAGTCACCCAGCCACCCTTATCAATGATATTAGTACGCAAAACATGAGTGCCCTGTTCTCCAGGCCAAGACTCCAGCTTGTCACCATAACATGTTGCCCTTGTGTATCGCACTCTACCGAAAGTTCATAATTAGCCCAGGTGATTCAGTCCTAACAACTCATGCAAGGCAGACAACTGTGACTGTGCTCATGTTACAGATAGAAAAATCAGACATAGACAAAATGATCTACCTGAGTCACACAGAAGCCACTGGAAAAGCTGGGGACAGAGTCTGCCTCTTGCATCTCCATGTCCTGTGGCTAATCCTTCCTGATTTCCTGTCAGTTCCTTTTAGATCTCAGCTAAAACCTTCTATTTCCCTAGGGGCGCCTAGCCCAGGTGAGGGTAAGGACTCAGGGAGGCTCTTTTGAGTCACCTGGTTAATTGACATCCTCATTTCTTTTGACACAAAGCTTCATATATGCCAGATGACTGTACCAGGCTCTTCTAATTGATTTATGTCTTCAAGTTTACCCCTCTGTGCCATGGATGTAGAGCCCAGGACCACTTCAAATCCCAAAAAAGGGGTTTTCATCTTTTTTGGGATTTGAATAACACCGTATCAGCCCTTCATTCCTGCAAGCTCTTGTTATCTACTAAATATGCTGTAGCTACATCACCCCAACCCCCTTATAGACAGTGACAGCATTTCATTTGTGTTCTCAGAATTGCACACATTGTTCCCCATCTCATGGGAAATAACAGAGCAATAGAATTACCTATCCTTTCTCCCCTCATTCCTTCCCATCAAAAAAGCCATGTCCATATAGAAGCTCATCATGGACTGAACAAAAAGACATTTTCAGTCATGGCTGAATCCTGATCATGTGGCTGAATCCCAATCACTGCTGTTCAGGCAAAAGCTACAGTTTTAACCCTCTCACAACCTCTGCCAAATTGGCAGCAGCTTTTGGCTGCTCAGCCAAAATGTACCACCAATTTAACAGTGGTTTTGAAAGGGTGAAGACTAACTGTGATCTGCAGCATGCATGCCACTCCTCTCTCTCTCTGTGGCCACAGAGAGAAGCAAGGCCCCAACAGTCATTATACTTGTGAGGGTTCGGCTGGGACACAGGTGGTCGGGCCTGCATGTAGGCCCTGAAGGGCAACCAGAAGGTCAGCTATCAGAATTCAGGAGAGTCAGAGAGCTGAGTGTTAAGTTCTAGGGAAGATCCAAAAACTGGGTCAGGGAAAGCTGAAGCTGAGTCAGGAGCTGGGAGAACCAGATAGCAGTGAAAGCAGGGCTTGCCAAGGCAGACTGAGGTTGTTATCAAGGCATGCCTGCAGTCTGAGGCTGCAGGTATATGTAAAAGGACTGAGTGGTGCTCTCTGCAGCCAATCCATTTTCAGAATAGTTGCATTCGCTCAGCATCAAGGTCCGGGTAGAAGCTCAACAGCTGACCTTGGTTGGGCCTGACAATACTTTTCCTTTGCTTCTATTCTATTCCAGAAAACAGCTTCCTTGCTTAAGGCCCCCCCCCCCCCCAGTTTTGGAGGGCTGATTTGGGGGAATAAGGTGTGTGTGGTATATGAGTAAATACAGTATTACTGGGAGTTAGGTTATGGAAGCAGATGGTATGATTTATTCTTACCACACCATGTCGTTCCTCAATAGAGAAAAGCCTGCAGAAGACCTACACTTTGGCTAAGCTCTGATGTTGCTCGGTTTCCATTTGGGGACCAGGGGGCAGCTGACTTTCTTCTTTGACCGTTGCTGTTCTCCTTTTCTCCTCAGGTCAATGCTGTGACGGGCTGGCTTGATGGCAGTGCCATTTATGGCCCCTCCCATTCCTGGAGCGATGCTTTGAGAAGTTTCTCTGAGGGGAAGTTGGCTTCTGGGCATGACCAGGATTTCCCAAAGCAGACAGATGAGAGGCTCCCCATGTGGAAGGCCCTGGACCCAACTACACAGCAGGGTGGTTCCCAGGGGATATATGGTAAGCAAACTTCATGGTCCAGTTTCCCTGCTAGACCACTGAAATGAATTCACCACTCAGCTTCACATGGTGCATTGCCTAGGTCATTTCATGCCCAATTTAGATTGAGTTCCCCAACCATCTCTGGATCAAATTAAGCCCAGAGACAAGCATTGCAACAGATATCACAGATTAACAAGGAAGTGTGGTTGGCCTGGCTTTAATTCTTTCTAGCACTTGGGCTTTTTCATCAGTCTCATGCTCAATGTGTGCACTCATTAGCAGAAGAGAGCATTTGTGTATGAGCACATCATCCTCTGTGGTGAGAGAGGGAGACTCAGAGTGTAAAACAGATTTGCCTTGTGCCTGTAAGGGTGCTGCTTACCCTGTGGGAGCATGCATGATGCATAGTACTCAACCTGGAGAGGAAAGACAGACAGGTAGAAATCCCCAGGTGTAAGACTCTTTGTTCTTGGGTGTGGCATGTGGTTTTTAGTCTGGCACTGAGGTGTGTTCATTGCAAACAGAAGCATCTCTCAGCAACTTCCAGGCTGCAAGAACACAGGGCTTTTGACTCCATGAACCCTGTCAAAGGGACAAGGGTGCTCTCAGGTCAGTGGGGTGGTGTCCATTCCTCAGTAGTGCCCCTCCCAGGCAGCTTGGGAGGGGGGCAGAAGACTACTCTGCATCTGGATCCTGCTGAAAGGTGCTCAAGAGCCACCCATCTATAACAGGTACAGCTCTGCTCATCCAGATGAGGCAGAAAAGGTAGTCTACAGAGCGACTGTGAAGGCCAGGGGGTTCTGACTGGGGAATGGCTGGGCACCTCAGCTCAGGGAGGAAGGTTCAGTTCTGGTAACTTTTGTCATATTTTTGTGATGAGTATCATGGACATACGGCATGGAAACCCAAACACGACATGCACCCACACCTCCACAAACACACGCAAGTAGACTGCCCTTCCTCTAATCTGAAATAAGGTTCTGACATGTAGGAAGAAGCTCTGCCAACAAACATGCTTTTCTTGTTCTGATTTCCAGACTTGCCTGCTGGTCTGTTCTCTGCCCCTTCACCCAGCCACCTTCTCTGGCAGCCAAGAAAGCACAGAGACTGGGATACCTCCCCGCCCCTGTCCCCAGAGGGGTCCCTTGTCCTGGGAGCAGTGGCAGGGCTGCAGACAGGGCACATCAGTGGGAAGGTTGCAATGCAGACTATATCCATTTTGCTCCCTTGGCATAAAGACAGGTTGGCAGCCTTTGCGTACTACTGGGCTCTGTACCCAGTGCCAGCACACAGCCCCAAGCACCTCACCTCTTCGAAGACTTCCCTCCCCACTGCCCAAGGGAAGTCTTATATGGGCCAACCTGTCTGTGCCCTTGTGCACTGAGATTGGTTCCTGACAGGCTCTGTGATTGTTGCAGACTTTGGCAATGCCAAAGGGAATGAGAGCCCTTTGCTGCAGGCCCAGAGCATCATGTGGTTCCGCTACCACAACTACCGGGCATCGAAGCTGCGCCAGAATAACCCCAGCTGGTCAGACGAGGATCTGTTCCAGCACACACGCAAGTGGGTCATTGCCACCTACCAGGTGAGGCAGCTTGGGAGGAAGGGGTGAGTAAGGTCTGTGTGGAGGGGCCAGCTCATGGGGGAGCCCCAGCAATAGTCACCCTCCCTGGGCTCCCACGCTGGGCCCCGTTGGGTCTCACATTGATTCAGTTTCCTCCTCTCCTCCCTAGAACATTGTGCTGTATGAGTGGCTGCCGGCATGGCTGGGGGAAAGCATCTCATCATATAAAGGTGAGGTGCGGGGGCTAGATCTGGGGCAGGGGGGGCCTGAGGGGAAGTGGGGCATTGCATGGAGGATGGAGCCAGCAGGTAGTGAGCAGAAGGTGCAAGGGGGAGTGCAGAGACCCTGCAGAGTGTGGGGGAAGCAAAGAGGGGCAGGAAGCCAGCAGGAGCACAACGAAGTCTGAGGAGTCAGGGGGTGCAGTGAGCAAGGAGAGCAGAGGGAGTGGCACCGGGCTCTTCTCCATTCACCCCTTCAGGTGCTGGGGCCCAACAACTGCATTTCATGCTTCAGGTTACAGCCAGCACGTGGATCCCAGCCTGTCGCCTGAATTCCTGGCAGCTGCAGAGCACATCTTGGCCACCATGGTGCCCCCTGGCATCTACATGAGGTAGATATGGGGAGCCTGTGCATTCTGCATGCTGGGTTATGGTGCTGGTCACCTAAGGCCACAGAGTTAGGTGGGCACTGTCAATGCTTGTATGGTACCAGCCCTGAAGTCCTGCACAAGTCAGACTGCAGCATCCACCCTCCCTTCTTCTTCAGCCTGAAGATTCACCCTGACACCTTCAGGCCCCACCCTCCTGTGCTTCCTTCCAGAGCCTGCTTACCAGCTCCTGGCAGCAGGGCTGTGACCACAGCCCTAAAAAGCACGCTGTACAGAGACTGGGCACCAGCAGGTCTGTGATGTTGTTTGTCCCAAGCAGATGTGTACCATGCAGTTCATGCCACACAAACCCATGGGCATGCAGCAGCTCCCACTCATCTCCTCCAAGGCCCTTCCCCTGCCCACCTGTCTGTAGAGAAAATAGCAGGCCTAGACCCCAGCAGTAGAGAGATGTTCTCTGCACCCAGGACCATCTCCTGCAGGCTTGGACACTAGCAAGCAGCAGATAAGCTCTGCAGAACACAGCAGTGCCCGCAGAACCCCCTCCCAACCACACAGTGCTGCCTGGCACAGAAAGGGCTGTGTGGCCTCACTCCTTCTCTTCTGTTTCAGAGACAAACAGTGCAATTTTTGGAGAGCGATCGACCAAGACAAAAATCAACCATCAGCTTTGCGGCTCTGCAACAACTACTGGAGGAGAAAGGTAAAGAGGTGCTGGGATGGACAGGGTTTTTGGGGATGCCTTGGGCAAAGTCAGGATACATAAATGGAGGGTCAAGTCCTGTCCTCACTGCTGCAGCCAGGAAGGTTCCAGGGACAGGCTGGGTAGGAATGAGAATAGGATTTAGGTAGTTGCTCCATGTTACTGCACAGCAGGTGCTTGATGTTCTAGTACACCCTTGCCTTCTGAATGGGGGCGGATCCGGGGAGGTTGCATTGGTGCAGGTGCACCCTCCACCCCTTGATTGCTGCTCCGCCCAAGCTTTTGAATCAACAGCTATCATCACCATGATCCTTGCTAATTTCTCTCCACTCCACAGGTATTAATAGCCCTCTCTCCTTTGCAAGGGCCTTGATGTTTCACTATTCAAACTATTCTTTCTTCTGCAATGTTGCTGTCTCTTAGCCATTCCTGGGCATATCTCTCCCATTTTACAAACATTCAGACTGTTTTTAGCTCTAGTTAAAAACCTTAACTCAGGTGTGGTGATACTAACTCAGATGTAAAAATGACTGACAGTGAAGCATTGGGTGAATTGGAGGCATGCTTCACTAAGCTAGATTTTTGTTTCATGAATCTGAATAGGAGACATACATTTAATTATGATGACTACACGACTAATGAGATAATATTTTTTACTATTTTGACTATTTTTTAAATAGAATTATAGAAAATGTGGGTTAAAAGGGACCTCAGGAGGTCATCAAGCCCAAACCCCTGCTCAAAGCAGGACCATCCTCAACTAGATCATCCCAGACAAGGCTTTGTCTAGCTGGATCTTAAAAACCTCCAAGGAGGGGGAGTCCACTACCATTCTGGGTTGACTGTTGCAGTGTTTTACCACCCTTCTAGTGAGAGAGCTTTTCCTAATATCTAACCTAAACTTCTCTTGCTGCAACTTGAGCCTATTGCTCCTTGTCCTGTCATCTGCCACCACTGAGAACAGTTCAGCTCCATCCTTTTTGGAACCACCCTTTGGGTAGTCGAAGGCTGCTATTAAATCCCCTCTCAGTCTTCACTTCTCTATACTAAATAAGTCCAGTTCCCTCAGCCTCTCTTCATAACTTATTAGTTATAAGTCATAGGGAGTATTGGGTTCTCTGTCTCTTGATGTCTTCAGATCTAGACTGTATGCCTCTCTGGAAGAGAAGGTTTAGCCAAACATGGGTCACTGGGCTAAATCCAGCAGCAACTGAAAGAAATGCTCTGACCTGTGAGACACAGGAGGTCAGGCTGGAGGATCACACAATACACGAGCCACCGTTTCTTTAGGTGCCAGGTCAGGCAGGCATTAATGTCACTACATTGCCTAGCCTTGCACCCTAATGAATCCATGACTTTTCCCACTCCTGTTTAGAACCCCAATCTCCAGACATCAAAGGATGTGGATGACCTGCTGCTGGGAATGAGCTCCCAGATTGCAGAGAGGGAGGACAACATTGTGGTGGAAGACCTCCGAGGTATGTTGTAATGGCTGCTATTTATCTGAGCATCTATCCTTGTTAGTAGTTCTGGTGGGTGTCCATTGCAGAAGAGCCACAGGGTCATGAGCAAGTCCCCAAGGCACTAGTAGGTCCATACAGTTCTGTGCTGAAGCTGGTGCAGCTGGGGCTTCATGTCTAGTTGCAGTGTAGACATGTCCTCAGGAATCGTGGCATCTGGACAGACAGTCTCATCCCAACAAGTAACAGCATGGAAGTCACTGTGCTCAATTCCTGTCCTGTAAGGCCTTCCTGTGCCATACTGGGAGATGATCTTCACAGGGAAGAGGGAGTTTGGTGAGGGGAGAGGCCAGTGTGTAGCAGGCCCCAGCTGTCTGGCACAGGCAGGGTGATCACTGGAGGTTGCATATACATTGCCATAACTTTACCTCCTCTCTTTGGGCTCTGCAGACTACTGGTATGGGCCACTGAAGTACTCCCGCACTGACTTCGTGGCCAGCTGGATCCACCGGGGGCGAGACTTTGGCTTGCCCACTTACAATAAGGCCCGGGAGCTCTTTGGGTTAGCCCCTGTCCAGAACTGGATGGATTTCATTACTGACGTGGATGGACAGGTCAGATAACCTTGAGATGTCATGAACCTACAGTGGGGGCTTCTACTGCCATCTGTTGAGCCTTGGCTTTCACAGACAAGTTATTTGCCTTTATCTGCCCCTGGGCAGGCAAGCAGTACACCTCCTCCCCCCGCAGTGTGGGCACAGTCATATGGGCACAGAAGTGCTCCTTCTGGACAGCTTATTCCTCTAGGGAAAGGGAATGAGGTCTACTGGGACAAAGCTTTTGTATCCAGGGATAGCTGCATAGCTGGCATAGTTGCAGTGGAATAACTATGTTGATCACATAGTTATAGCCCCCCAAAATGTCACAGTACAACCAGGATAAAACCAGGGTGTAATTCAGACCTCAGTCTAGGTTTAGAACTGGCCAGAGAGAAATCAGTGCATGGATAGCTGCGGGATGGGGTTCACAGCTGCAAACTAGTACCGAGGACATGGTCTTCTTTGACTCCTATTGTCACCTTCCCTGCCCTGGGGTTGAGCTCTGAGCCAAAGCTGGTGCCACTGCTACCCACCCCTGTGTGCACTCCACTTCTCATGTGCATTGCTGCTGCTCCAGCACCAAAGCTTGGAGTGACATATGTTTCATGGTGAGCTAGAGTGATACCATGATGGGCACTGGCTGATACAAAGCCATGGACCCAAATGTGTGTGGTGCCGCCTACCCTCCTCCCTCACAGACTTCCCAGTCCTTATGAGATTAGGCCCTTAGTCTGTTAAACAGTAAAGGCCAAGAACACTGTATATATTTTCCTTGTTCTTCTCTCCAACCTTCTTGCCAGGATCTTACTGGTGAGTGGGAATCACCAGCCCCATCACCCCACCCAGCAGCTGCACTGTCTGCTATTCCAGTAGTGACATGCTGGTTGGGGAATCTTTTAATCCAAAACATCAGGATCCAGCTGCAGCCATGGTTGTACACAGAAGAGTCTAAATCTTTAGAAAAGGAGGCTATGGTGATCTTCTGGTGGCTCCAGTACCAGGAGGGGATTGCAGGGGAGGTTGGAATTTATTTGAAACAAGTCCCAACAGGAAAGCACAGGAGTTCTCCTGAGGGCCATGGGGCAGCTAAAATTTTCTGTAGACATGCTAGAAGGAAGCTTGGTGGGATTTTTCCATCCCCTGGAGCAGAGTGACCCAAGGGAACAGGCACTTGGTTGTTCCACACAGTCAATTCCTTGAAATCATTGGATGAAGCAAGATGGAGGCCATAGAAAGGCTATGGCACCCATACAGACTTACGTGCATGGCTGCCCTTGACAATGTCCACTACCATCTGACTTTGCCATGAGACCCAGTGACATGTGTCAAGGGCTGTTGACGTTTTCCAAGCCTTTCTGATACACACACATTTTTCTAATCACAGACCTGCATATGTGTAGGGCTGAGTTTTGGCAGACTTTCCTAATGCTTGTGTTTGTTCTACAGGTCGTAACAGAGGTAGCTGCCATGTACAACAATGACACCTCCAAGCTGGAATTCCTCCCTGGAGGCATGCTGGAAAGCAATGGATCCCTCTTCAGAGCCATCATCCGGGACCAGTTTGAGCGTTTGCGAAATGGGGACAGGTTTTGGTTTGAAAACACAAAGAATGGGTAAATGTCTCCCTAGTGGTGATCACGTGTAGTAATGCCTGGTGTTTTTCTGGAACACTGCACTCCAGGTCAAGCTGCAATAGCATCCTTCCCATTTTGAATCCTATCATTCACAGTAACGGGCCTGGAAAATAATGGTGCAGCCAGATGGACAATGAAAGTGGATTCCACTAGGGATCTGTGGCTGAAACAGGAGTCAGTCCTGCAGCCTGTCATTCATCCCCTAAAAAGCTGCCATAGCCCCTTGGCTACTTCCTAACATGGTGCAGCATGGGTCTAGTACTCAGAGTCCATGATATGTAGTCCTTAGACTCTCCAGGTGAAGTGAGGCAGGGTGCAGGCTGTGTCCTCTCTGATGTTTCCATGGTCCTTTCCTCAGGTTATTCACAGAAAAAGAAATTGCAGAGATCCAAAACACCACATTCTATAACGTCCTTGCTTCTGTCACCAATGTGAATTCAAGTCAAATCCAGGACAGAGTCTTTTTCTTGAATAACGGTGAGTACTTTCCTTCTGCAATGCTATGCTAATGGCTCAGGGCAGCCAAGGTCCCTTCAGAACTTTTGTCATAGGACAGAACATCCTGGGACTGGACAACACAATCTGACACAGTTCCCACAACACTCACTAGCTCACGAAAGGAGCATTCTGCTAAGATAAAACCCAGATAATGTACTTTGTGACTACCCTCTACTGTATACCTTTGCATCCATCAACAAGAGGATGAGGGCTGAATGAAAGCTACCAAGCTGGCCTGAATTTCCATAATTTTTACCTAGGTTCTGGAAAGGTCCCTTGTAATGTTCACTCCTAGACGTGGCCTAGACCTCATGCCCCAGCTGTCAGCAGTGTATGAGCATGAAGAACATTCTGGGTATTGGCAAAATATGGGAACCCAGCCAATAGGGGTTCCTGCCCTATGACTCTTCCTCATTTTCTGTGGTATTGTGGTCCCTCCTTCTTAACTGTCTTTAGCCTGGCAGGAAGTTTGGCAGATTCTTCATGTGTGTTATGGCCCATAATGTCAGCTGGTATTTTGCATTGTATTTTTTGCTACGGCCTGCCCCATAAAGTTATTAATTTACAATGAAAACATTTTTATTAAACTCCTTCTGTCCTTTTTCAGAAGTTTTATTGATTCTATTTTAAATATGCAAATTCTGCAATAGATAACTAAACCTGAAATGATTTCCAGAATTGCAACATGCTCCCTTCATCATCTTAGTATGCAGAACTAATGCTGAAAAGAAACCGAGCACCTGTCCTGGGGTCCCACCCACCACAAAGTATTCATAACTCATAGGATAAGGCGAAGAAGCATGCAGTGCATTTTGTGGTTTCTCAGAAGAGCTGAGAATAGAAGCACAGAGAAGTAGGGCTGGAAGGGACCTACAGAGGTCATCTAGGCCAACCCTCTCTCTATCCAGATCATGCTGTGGAACACCTCTCTGCGAGAAATCCTGAGTATTAAAAAGCAATTCTGTGCTGCATTAGAAAGGGACTTTAGCAGAGACTCCAGTTCTCACAACTGACAGCAAGGATTCAGCTTCTGGAGACCTTAGAGTTAAATGTAGGGTCAAGACTCTCTTAACTGCCCAAAGATCTCCCAAACATTAAGGAAACCCTATCATTGACCCTTGGGGAATGTATTCTTAAAGAGAGAGTGCACAAGCTGGGTGAACAACACAGCATTCATGTCCTTTTCTCTTCACCTACCAGGGGCTCCGTGTCGTCAAACTGAGCAATTAAAAGCAGAACGTCTGACCAACTGCACACCCCTGGTTGTGCTGAACTACTTCGAAGGCAGTGGTGCTGGGTTTGGGATTATTATCGTCGTCCTTTGCTGCTTGCCTCTAGGTTCGCTCCAGTCTTGGCTTCCTTTGCTGATATCCTGATAGGGGGACAAGTCACTGTGGGTACTGAGCACTTGACACTCCAGATAGTGTCAGTGGGAATTACCAACAGCTTTCCTCAGGAACTGGCCTTTTGTTTATAGGTGTCAGCTATTCCTGTAACAGCCCAATCCTGCCAGGCAGGAATTATCTCCTGAGTATCTTCAGGCCCCATGGCAGTCTTGGTGGGGGAGAGGGGGAGTAAAGCTTTCAGAAGCAGGCTCTGCCTCAGTGATAGTTCCTGCCTCACTCAGCTCAGAGTGCTTTCATCTAATCTGTGACACTATGGCCATATGGAAGTGACCTCATATCTCATAAAACATACCTCATACCCCAGCAGAAGCAGGAGCCTCTGGTGTGGTACCCAAAGTGATGGACTTGAGGCTCTGCTTGGAATCAAATAGGGTGATTGCAGATGATAATATTATTGGGATAAAGACATTGGAATCAAATAAAGTTATTTGTAGCTGGAACATGCCACAGTGGCTGATCCTGATGGGAGCTGTAGTAAATTCTTTCCTCAGCACCATCTCTAGAAAGGATTATTTTTAACTCACCAAGATGGCCACCAGAGCTTATTGGCCAAAAAATAAGTGGTTTTGTAGCCTCATATCTCATTTCTTTCTTTCCTGCTCCTTTGCCTCCCTAGTAAGTTTATTCATTGCCTGGATTGTTGCCGCTTTCCGCAAGAGAGATTTCAAGAAGCTGAAGAGAGAGCAGAACACCAACGTGAAGAGGGAGGCATCCAGTGAGGGAACATGTGGTAAGGTGGCCATCCTGGGTTGGTCCCAGGGCGCTGTGACAGGAAACCCAAGCTCCTTGGAGTGACATGCAGTGGGTGATTTCTCAATAGCCAGAGTTCCCCATCAAACACCTTGCGCTCCATAGCCAGCTGCTTTCATAACCTAGGACAGTGCAGGGACAGCAATAACTCCTCTCCTGAGGCTGGGCTCCTTCAGTTGGAAGGAGCCTCACATGTTGAACCCACCACAGTCTGTAGACATTTGCTATAGAAACTGGAAAGATCCTGGAGATTTTATCCTGCATTGTCAATTTGGGTTAAAATTCTTCTCAGATCTGCTTGACTGGTCTCATCCCAGATGTCCTGACAATCCTGTTTCTAGAAGAGGAGGATTTTTCCCTTAATATGGGTATTTTATGTCCCAACACAGTTCATGGATGTGGGTTACTCAGTAATGTATAGATGACAGGTCTATAACACTCTTAAAAATTGAGCCAATAGCTTGATCCTGATCTCTCTCACACTGGTGTAAATCAGTATGAACTGCACTGAGGACAGTAGAGATGCATCAGCGTAGAACCAGTTCTTGTGACTTCAGAATTAGGCTCCACTTCTGCAGCAATGCAATGTCACTGCTGTTTATTGTTTGATTAGTAAAGTTTCCAACCTCTTCCCACAAGCCCCATGAGCCCCTTGGGTGCAGAGACCACTGTCCCAGTGAAGAGAGGAATTTGCTGGCACTCAAATATCATGTTCTCAACTGACTGTTCTCTCCCCTCAGCCTTGGAGTGGCAAGGGCCCAAGACAGACAGCTACCTCGTCTACGTTCAGCTCCATTCGGACAAGATGATCAAAGTTCTGGACAGCAGGTTGTCGGTGCTTCGAAGCATCAACCTCCATGCTCAACAGCAGCTGGATGTGATCCTGTCCAACAACAAAGGGAACAAAGCTCTACTCCTAAAGATTCCCAAAGAGTATGACCTGGTACGTAGTGTGACCCATGACATGTGGCTTGTAGCTGTCCACTTTACTATACCTATCACAAGAAATGTATCCCCCACACTGTGGGTGCCTCTACACATTCATTAATGTACAGAAGTTACTGCACATTTAGTTTAGTGCTTGCTTAATGAAGTACTAACTAAATGCACAGTAACTACAGTTACTGCATAGTAACACCGATGCATGGGGTTTTTTTGTGATGCTTACTGCCCAGTAGCCTAATACTACTGTGCAGTAGTGTATTAGCCTGGTTTTTGCCTAACACACTATGGCACAGTGTTAGGCTACAGCACATTAAGTGTCTTGTATAGACATGCCCTGTATACACCTATGTGTCATGTTCTTGGAAGCCCACAATCCATTATGGGGATGTCGCTTTATAACCATGAGTTCTGATGCCTTATAATGTGTCAAGCCCAGTAAGTGATAATATCCATACTTTGTTCTGAGAAAGACCTTCTTCCAGGTCTGTGAGGTGTAACAAATATTCATTTCTAGTCAATGTGACTTTGGGCCAAGCCACAAAGCTTTCACTCCCTAGATAAGCTTTTAATAAATATCAGGAGAGTGCTTAGCCCTAAGTCAAGGAAACAGGTGGACTGTTCCATTTCCAGAGTAGACATTGCTCTGTTGTATAATATTTTAGGTCCTACATTTCCACTCTCTGGTATGTGAAGAATGAACACTGTTAATGACAGATAGTCTTGTCCCACTAAATAGCAGCCATATATACATAGGAAAGCATTTGCTGGTCTGGTTCAAGGGGAGCAGATACAGTAGAGAATCTTTCAGATGGGCCTTGCAGATGCTGGTCTTATGTTACAAGAAGCTGCAGCCTTCCCTCAATAGTGGCCCAGCATTGTTCCTGTGGAAATAGAAGTGTCACCTGTGGGGTAAATTAGGTTTGTTTAAAGGCTGGGCCTGTGTGTTTCTGTTCAAACAGAATTGGAAAGGGGAAACATATTTTACAAGCCTCCCAAGCACTGTGTGTTGCTCTGTGCACTGAAGATATCTTACCATGACACTCTCCCAGTCTAGCTAAAAATGGGTCCTACTCACAGTCTCATTGTGTGGGGTTACTTCTCTAGGTGTTGTTTTTCAATGGAGAGGCAGAGCGAAGTGACTTCACTGGGCATTTGAAGGCCTACCTGGAAATGAAAGGTCTGGCTCTCAACATAACTGACATGAAGGAACAAGACCTGCTAAAAAGGGCTGTTACCAAAGAACAAAGGAAGCAGGTTCTTGAAACTTTCTTCAGGCATTTATTTGCCCAGGTATGTACAGTACCAAGGGGTGAGTGTGATGACTTTAAGATAAATAGAAGGCTGGTGCTTATATTGACTTAAGCATTCAGTGTTACTGCCCTGATTGCATGAGAACATTAGTAAACCACACATGAGGAATATAATATTTGAAGGATTTTTTTTGTTTACAGGAGACCAAGGAAATGGCAATGCTGAAATATTATCATTTGATTTCCAAGACGGAACAGTTCTTTAATTATATCATGAACATATCAGTAAATGTTCCTAAATGTTGTATTAAAATAAGATGAAACTTTACAGCAGCCTCTGCTATTCAGTCTTAGCTGGGAGGTAGAGGGAAAACTGCCATTTTTTCCTGGGTAGAACACAAGACACTTGGATGAACATGGTTCTGCTTTTTATAGTGCTAAATATTATCATTATTTGGGGCTCATATGGCAGGTGCTGGACATTGACAAGGCAGATGCTGGAGACCTCAACTTTGAAACATCCCAAAAAGCAAAAGAATCTCTGAAGTGTGAGCTGAGCAGTGTTGAGTTTGCTGAGTCCCTGGGGCTCAAGCCCCACTCCATGTTTGTGGAGTCCATGTTCTCCCTTGTTGACAAAGACGGCAATGGGTATATCTCCTTCCAGGAGTTCCTGGACATCTTGGTGATCTTCATGAAAGGTGAGACTCCATGTTAGCTGGAGAGCTGTGGGAGAAGTCACTGACTTGTTATAGTGAAAGGGAGTATCTTGATGAAATCACAGCTCCATATAAACTGGTTCCTCTGTCATCCATGCACTGGTTTCCCACCCCCAAAAGTGAGCTGAAGCATTTCATGGTCCACTTTTCAAATGAAACATGAAGTGAAGATCTTGCCTGCCTGTAACAATTGCAGTCCACTAGGACTTACAAAAGCGAGGTGATTCAGTCTGATGCCTCAACCCTGTTTCTTCAGGTTTGGGAGCCCAGTGCAGCTAAAATCCCAGCCTAGTCTGAGTTTCCCTCTGCTAGTGATGTGTATGAAGCATGACAACCCAAGGCCTCAATTCAGAACAGCCCATAAGCAAGTGTTTAAATGTAATCATGTGCTGAAGTATGAGTAGGCATGGGTTTGAGCATATGCTTAAATACTTTCCTCAATCAGGGTCCAAGTCTCTACACTAGTTTCAGACAGATTGAGAGAGACATCAGCTAGTTAATTAACAAGAAAGGGCTGCCTGGCATTTCTGCTCCTGTCTGGAGTGGCCTTCAGCAAGCGGCTTAACTGGGCAGTTCTGCACCCTGGGGAGCAGTGGGCAGTAGCTGTAGCTGGGCCAGCAGTGTGGCAGCTGTTGTTTTTGTGTCCTCTCCCTCCCCAGGATGGGGACCCAGGGTGAATGCCCTCGTCCCCCTCTTTTAGTTATGCGACTGCCTTCTGCGTGATATGTCCACATATTGAATCTGCACATGTGAATCTAAAGTTACTTTCTGTTGAATCTGCTAATGTCAATGCACGTATGGTTTTACTTTATGTTTACAATATGTTCTCTGCCTGCCGGTCTGGCAGCACTCATTCCCTCGCTTGTGGTTGAAGTCATTTATTTATAACATGGACAAACATAATGCCTTCAGCTATGGATGTGGAGAAGGCAATCTCTTCTCCTTGTTAGAGCTGGCTGATATTTGGCTTGGTTGTCCCTGGCTGTCCACGGGAATGAGAATACCAGGAAAGTGTGTTGGAAGACGAGACCAGCATCAGTAGTATCAGACTCTGCTCCACCATATAGCTCCAGGCTGGGGAGGAACACACAACCTTAATTAATCTAAATAGGACTTCCAGGAAATCATTGCTCCGTGATGATTACTGAAATACAAGCTCAGTGAACAGTTCACAGCAAATAATTAATTTGGTCAAGCTTGCTTCTTCTTTCGCTTGTAAATTGTCTGTGACCAGGTTATGATTTTTCTGTTTTATTCGCTATTCATAATTACTCCCAGAGTCTCACAGTGAATCTGGGAGTAGTTGTGGGGGGTTTGTTCTTGGTTGTCATAAATATTCAAATTTGTGATGCGTTGGTTATTTCAAATGTCACTTGATGCTGTTTCTGCTCCTGATATGAGGAATTATATGGCTAATTAACATATGTTGGATTAGGAATCTTATATCTGAACATACAAGACAGAATTTGCCATCAAGTTTAAGATTTGCTCTTTAGATGGCTTTGTGGTAGTAAACCTCACATGCAATAGCCCTTGTGGCAACTGAGCAGAAGAGGAGCAAATATAGCCAACTGTAAATAGCTGAAAGGCTTTAACTTCTTCTCAGCCCTATGATTTTTGGCTCCTTTTCACATTGAGGACAGTGACTGATGCTATAGACCTGTAATCTCCACAAGAGTCTTTGAAAACACTTTGACCAGCTCTGTGGCAAGAGGCTCTAGAAAGAGAAAATATTTTTTACTCCATCTCTCTCCTTCCTTCCCAGGCACCTCAAAAGAGAAGTCCAAGCTGATGTTCAGAATGTATGACATTGATGGGAATGGGTTTCTCTCAAAGGAGGAGTTTCTAAGGATGCTGAGGTATTGTTGCTGTCTATAAACCAGTGAGATACATAGTTCCTTTTTTTCAATAGTGGTCATTAATCTTGGGTGCTTCAACTTCCCAGTGTCCTATATTGGACATCACCAACTCTGTACTCAGACCCCATTTTTCCTCTGTGATTGATACTCTTGGGGCTCTGTCTAGTTTCATTTGAAGGACTGAAGTGACAGTCTTGCAACCCCAACAGAAGCCACTCTGTAAATCATTCCTGAAACTGGTCGGCTGCATCATATGCAGGAGGGTCCATGTTGATGCTTTCTGAGAATGGGTTTTGTTCTGGAGCTCCCAACTTTGCATTTTTCTCTAGGTCTTTCATTGAGATCTCCAACAACTGCCTCTCGAGGGATCAGATAGAGCAAGTCACTGAGTCCATGTTCAGGGCCTCAGGGTTTCAGGACAAGGACGAGCTGACATGGGAGGATTTTCATTACATGCTGCGGGACCATGACAGGGAGCTCCGCTTCACCCAGCTCTGCATCAAAGGTTGGTGTGGGGTAGGGAGTTTTGGGTTATATCGCTGCCTGTAGACATTGCAGATAGTGGGAGCAACGTGTCTCCTTATGAGCACATGAAGAAGTTATGTCTATTGCTGGGTGTAGCTGGTTGTAGCTTACCAACCAGGCACTCTGCTCTACGAGATAGCACCTTGGCTTCTGCTCTCAGTATTCCCATGGTACAACTCATGATGGCCCATCTCTTAAGCAGGGCAGACTGTCCAAAGTATGTCCTGGCAAATCCCCCCTAAGAGAGGCAAGGGCAAGACAATAGGGGCCCCTGGAAATGTGTTTTCATTGTTGCCCATTTGTAACAGGTGGTTTTGTCCTTTCTGCTTTCCAAAGGTGTTCCCGAGGTTTTCAAACAGAACTTACACAACCGTGTCTCTTTCATAAATGGAGCCAAGACCAATGGGTAAGCTTTCCATGCCCCTGGCCAACAATTACCGTATAGCTGCTGCTGCTCCATTCTTTTTTCCCACTCCTCCTGCCAGCTATGTTTCAGTTCTTCACCAGAAATCACTCCACACTGGCCTTCCCATCAGCAGGACGGGAAAGTAAGCAGCTGCTTCTGAAGCTCCAGCATGTGCCTGGGTGTGGGATGGCACCAAGAGAGGAGAATACCTCCCTCTCCCTTCTCCCACTGTGACTTGAGCACTGTGTGGCTGGGGAGTTTGCTCCAAGAGGGGAGCACAGGAGAGACAGATCTCTCTGGATTTCACCTCCGGTTTCTAGTATGGAACCTTAGCTTCTGCTGATGGTGGAAGCCCACATCCTTAGCTTTCAGGGAACTGGGATGCCTGACATGGTGTGCATCTGGTGCGCTCATGGCGTAGGTAGTTTCATAGTTAGTAGGTAGATGAACTATTTACCACAAGGTAAAAGGGAACAAGTTTGACTGCACATCAGCTACTCTGCAGTAACTACCACATGCAAACTCTTCCCCACCATGGCAAGCAGAGGCTAGGCCACTGTAGCTTAGCTCTCAGTGAAAGAGGGACAGGGAAAGACATGGAGGCATTTATCAGGGAGGAGCTGACTTGTTGGAAAATCCTTTTACCCTGTGATATCTAGTTCATCTGGTCATACCCTCACAGTGCAGTGGAAGAACCCAGGAGACCTACAGGGGACCTCTGGGTGGGGTCTCCATGGCTCAGCCCTCACATTCTGGGAGCATGACTCACTTGGCCATGGCAGTGGGATTGTTTGGAGTGCACTGGAAAGAGCAAGCCTGTCTGTTTTCCATGTTGTGTCATCCAAACACATACCCAGAAGCATCCTTAGAATATATGTAACTCTCTCCTGGCAGCACAGTCCCAAACAGGGATGAAGCCCCAACTTCGGAAATCCCCATGCTGCCCATGGAGCACCAAGGGCAAGAACTGAGGAAGAGATTGGGCAGAAAGTGAGTATCCAATCTTTTCTCCTTGGGTCCTGTCTGACCTGAGCCCCTGAGACCCTATGGGTGGTTGGGCTGTTGCAGCTAGGATGTTCCCTGTTTCAATGAGCACCATCAGTGTAAGGTAGTGTAATGCTACACTTAGTAGCACCATGACCAAAAGAGACTTGGGGGTCATGATTGATCACAAGATGAACATGAGCCACCAATGTGATGCTGCAGCTGGCAAAGCAAACAAAACTTTGGCTTGCATCTACTGATGCATCTCAAGCAAGACCCAAAAAGTCTACATGTGCAAGACCCGATGATCTCATGAGGTCCCTTCCGGCCCTAATGTCGATGAAATCTATGTTTCTTGGTTCTCCACTAGCCTCTATCAAAGTGGTGTAAATTATATGCAAAACAACCATTTAAGCAAGACAGAAGAATATTCTAGGTCCCCTTGGAACTGGAGCAACAACTCAAGGAATGGAAGGCAGCCACCTGCCTGGGTCAGGAGTGGGGTTACTGCTCCTGCCCCTGATACACATGCCAAGCCCCTGTTTCTGACACCCTTCCTCAGACTGGGTGCATCTACGTGTGCACTTTATTGGGGAGTAGACTAATTAATTCTGTAGTAAAGCATTACTGTCTACATATGCAGTAAACTAATTAACTCCTAACAGTATTATCTTATGGCACAGTAATTCACTGCACTGAAACATATGCAGACAGTGACCACATGCATAAATTGTGACTGGTCAGCCCGGCCAGCTTGGGGCCAGACTCCTGCCTAGACCCTCAGCTGCCTGCCACCTGGAGCCTGGGGCTGACTCACCATGTGCCCTGCCAGCCTGCTCCACCCTGGCTCAAATTGCCGCTGTCCTGGCCAGAAGTGTAGATCCTGAACCTGGGAGCAGTTTAATTGGGCTCAAATGGCTCCAAAGTTTATTGCTTCACCATTGAGGAGCAGCTCAGACCCTAAGGAGCCTAAGAATGCCAGTGGTACTACTCCAGGAGTAAGCTGCTACCCTTGGTAAGAAAGGGTGTCAGAACCTGGCCCTTCGGGAAGTCCCAGGGCTGCCAAATCCTGTTGTTTAATAGAAATGTATGACTGGAAGGGAACCTTGCTCTTGAAGGCAACATCTCATAGAATCCTTCTCAAAAGCCATTGAGCTTTGTCTTAAATCTCATTAGGATTTTTCTTGCCCTTATTTCTCTTATGCAGAGATTTTTCATCTGTATTTCCTTTACAAAAAAAGTCCTGAATCCTGTTTCAGTCATAAAAGAACTGTGAAAATAATGTCCTTTTTGCAGGTCAGTGCCACTGGAAGCCAGTGCTGCCATTCACTTAATCCCAACCCAGGTCTGCTCTCCATATTAGCAGGAGAGTAAAGAGACCCAATTGCTATAGCGACAACAAGTATTTATCCAAGGTAGAACAGCGACACTTGTTTAATGCCCTGACATATTATCAGGACATGTCTGAAGGTACATATTTTCCCATTGGATGTGTCTACACTGCAAGCTGCCTCTGCCAATGCATTGTCAAAGTGCACCGTGCTGCTTGCTAAATTGGAAATAGCACCATTGGTTCACACAGTGGGAGGACCAGACAAATAAGCCCCCAGCATTGATTAAAATATCCCCAAGGCCACATGAACATGGCTGTGCTGCTTTGGGGGTGGAAGGTGCCATGCACCATGTGTTGTGGCATGTTTGTCCATGCCGTTCCCTAGCACAAGAAGTCTGAAATTTAGATGTGACCTTAGATTTCTTAGTTTCTGCCACATGCCTTGGGCGTTTCCTTCAGGTTTCTTTTTACCGTAATTAATTCCCTTTCATAGCTTCTCGTTAAAGCTTATCTTATCTGCCTTTAATTCTATACATTTTCATTAGTGAGTATTGATTTCTGTGCAATGCAGTGTAAGGTTAATATTATCTGCTGATATTACCGTATACACATTTGCATAGACTATTACTGTTTTTATTCTGATAGTGGCACAAGAACACAAAAAAGAAAGGCAGGGTTCCTTGTTTTAGGTACTGCGCAGACACATAGTTTTAGGTACTGCACATAGTTTTAGGTATGGCACAGACACATAGTAAGAAAGTTCCTGCTTCATAGAGTTTACAGAATCATAGAATCATAGAAAAGTAGGGATGGATGGGACCTCAGGGTCACATAGTCCAGCCGCCTGATCAAGGCAGGATCATCTCTATCCACTCCATCCCATACAAGTCCTGGTCTAACATATTGCTAAAACTCCACAGACAGCCTTGTTAGACAGCTCCAAGCCACATTGCCCCCAAACACCTGGAAGACACTAACCTGCCACAGGTAATGCAGGGGGACAAGGGCTGTCAGTGTCCCCTGTGCAAGGGTTGTAAAATGTACTTGGGAGATCTACTGCCAACAAGGAGCTGTACTGTCACTGTGGTTATATTACTGATTTACACCCTGCTCCCTTTTGCAGTCCTTTGGAATCTGGCCCTTGATTCTTCAGGGTGCAGCGTTGGGTCCTTTGTGCCATGTTGGATCAACCATAGTTCATGTTTTCTAGGGCAATGCAGTACCAGCCAAATTTATACACAGAGGCCCAAAGGAAGAAGTACCAGAGAAGCAAAGTTCAGCAGAAGATCCAGACTTTCAAGCGCTTCGTTGAAAACTATCGGCGCCACATTGTGTGTGTGGTCCTGTTCTCTGCCATTACAGCTGGCGTATTTGTGGAGAGAGCATACTGTGAGTGTCCAGCCAGGGTCCAGGCAGCCGGTTCCAGAAACACTGGCAGAAAGGAGGGCAGCAGAAGTCTTTGTCTCAGGGGCTGCAGCCACCCCTCAGGCTTGACCATGACTGAGGCAGTGCGTAGAGTTTGTGAGCCATTTAGATGGCAGGATGACAGGGCCTGGACTCTCCAGTGAGACTTGTGTGTCACACCCCCCACCCCTCCACGCAGTGTAAAGCAGCCTAGTTCTGGTCATTAGAGTGGGGTGAGCAGAAAGGATTATATTTCACTGGCAGGCCTAGCTCCTGCTCTGACCATTCTGCACCAGTATAGAAGTGTCCTGGGGAAGGGGAGTAGCACATCAGACTGGAAGGGGACACAGCAAAGCCCACTACATCGATCCTCCACTGCTATGATGCTCCATGGGGATGCCATGCATTGCTGGCATAAGTTAGAGCAGCCCCAAGCCTCACAGAGGGTAAGTCTGGGGCTTCCACCTAGAAGGCCTCAGAAACAAAGAATGAGTATGAGCTTTCTAATGCCAGACCACTCCAGTGCACCACGTCCAGCTTCCCATGTGGAAATGAGCAGGTTTATTTGCCCCTGTATCCTAGAGAGGCCCAAAGGGTGAGCACGCCCCTTCTGCAGTATCATTCACAGCCTGGGTATTCAGTGCCCTGTAGTTCCTTCTCTACATAACACAATGGCCCTGCTTGGTCTACAGATTACGCCTTTGCATCCCCACCCACTGGAATTGCACAGACCACTTTTGTTGGCATCATCATTTCACGAGGGGCAGCAGCCAGCATCTCCTTCATGTACTCCTACATCCTGCTCACCATGTGCCGTAACCTCATCACCTTCCTGCGGGAGACCTTCCTCAACCACTACATCCCCTTTGATGCTGCTGTGGATTTCCATCGCTGGATTGCAATGGGAGCCCTGATTTTCTCAGGTAGACTAGTTACTTGGGGAGGAAGTGGGAGTATCAATCTAGCCTCTGTATGATGGCAAATATAGCATCAATCCAAGCCAGCAACTTAGCATTCACAGCTAGGAGCAGGCATGAGACAGGGTCCTTTAGGTCTGAGCAGCTCCGCTGGACACAGGCTGAGGGAGATACATGAGCAAAAGTATGCAGATGTGCATGGAACTTACAGGGTCAGGAGATAAAAACTGATGTGCTGCAGCATGATTCAGAAGAAAGGGAAACTGAGGTTGCCTGGCCAATAGATACTGCTTGACTACAGTGCTCTCTTTGCCAATGTTATTCAGATTGTGTGTTTTGGTTTCATGCACAGAATGACAGCACAATGTGACAAAGTATTTGCCTTCTCACTCTCTGTGTCTGTCTCCTGCAGTTCTTCACACCGCAGGCCATGTTGTGAATGTCTACATCTTCTGTGTCAGCCCTCTCAGCATTCTGTCCTGTCTCTTCTCCAACGTCTTTATGGATGATGGGTAAGCCTGGATAGGAGGCATTGCCCTTGAGAAGGGCTGGCTTAGGAAAGTAGAACTGTCTGAGAAGTTTGGGAAGAGCATGGAAGAAGGAGGGTTTGACACAGGGAACTGAGTGAGGTGGATTTGATGGCCTGAAAGATCTCTCTCAGCCTGACACATGCTGATATTTGGTGGAATGATATCCCTTAGGAGATGACATTGCATTGGTGAAGTGACACCATCCAGAAAAGCACTGTCATTGTCTTGTTCACTGTGGGTGTAGCTGGGACAGGTGTGGATGGCCTACCATCAGCAAGCATTGGGTTTATTCCTTGGAGATGGAAGGAAAGGATTGCCTGGTTTGAGAGACCAGAGTTTTGTTTGTGTGTATAGCACACGGTGCAGATATTGTAATGGGTCCAGGTGGCCAGCAGACCTTTGTACAGGTGTGTGGGCTGCACAGGTGCAGTTTTTGTAACAGGTTAAGGTTTTCTTTGGGGAGCAATACTTGGAGTGTAGATATATATAACCATATGTGTGTGTGTGTGTGTGTGTGTGTGGTTTTGTTTTTGTTTTTTTTTTACAAAAAAATAAAATTCCATGGGGCTTGTGGTGGCTGGGTGTGTGATTGTATGGTTTGGTTGTCAGAAGATTAATTACTTTGCTCCCCTCCAGGTCACAGTTACCACAGAAGTACTACTGGTGGTTCTTTCAGACCGTCCCAGGTAAGGCCAGAGGGATGTGAACATGTCCACGCACATCACACTGTGTGCTTTTGTGTTTAGTGAGTCTGTCTTCATTGCTCCAACATCTCTACATTTCCTAGCAAGGCATGGCCCCCTTCTTGGCCAAGCCCATTGCTACCATCCCTCCTCCATTACTTCCCAACCCTGTCTCTCGTAGGCATGACTGGTGTTCTGCTGCTTGTGATCCTTGCCATCATGTATGTGTTCGCCACCCACCACTTCCGACGTGTCAGCTTCCGGGGCTTCTGGATCTCCCACCACTTCTACGTGCTGCTTTACGTCCTAGTAAGCCGGCTCTGATTCCTGCTGTCGTGCTAGTTGTCATTACTGGATACTGATGTGTATATTGTGTATCTAGTACACAGCATTCACGAGCTGTAGGCAAGGATCTAGTGGGTGGGGGAGGAGGAGTAGAGAGCAGATGGGCTTCTTAACTAGTCTTTCAGGAGACCTCCTGATGTAGACCTAACACTGGGACCTGTTTGTCCCCCATATAAGCAAGGCAGCAGTACCAAGGGATGCTGCCAGGCAGGAGGGAGGTTAATAGCCTGCAAATTAGCATGAGCTTAGGCAGATGAATGTGACTGGTAAAGAAGATAATATCCCTCAGTGCAGGAGGGGAGATCCAGGAGAAAGGTCAGCACCTGCAGAGACTGGAGCACGAGCAACCACAGCGTCTTGACTAATGCACATGGTGTGGCCTAAGGGAGAGTTGACTTGATTGGGACTCAGGGGAGCAGAGTTCATGGCTCTGCTGCTGGGTGACTCTGAGAAAGTCATTTCTCCTCTCTGCCCCTCAGTTTTTCCAGCTGTGAAATGGTGATAATCTTGACCCTCCTTAGTAAAGCACTTGGAGACCTACTGAGGGAAGCATGAGGCATGTTAATGCATGAGCTGTTTCTAGCACTAAGTGTGGGAGTAACAGTTGTGCTCACTGTTGTGTTCCCAGATCATTATCCACGGCAGCTACGCTCTGATCCAACAGCCCCGTTTCCATATCTATTTCATTATCCCAGCTCTCATCTATGGAGGTGATAAGCTGATGAGCCTGAGCAGGAAGAAGGTGGAGATCAGTGTGGTGAAAGCTGAGCTCCTCCCATCAGGTACAGTGGTGACAGGTTCCCTGTGGGCCAGCGGAGATAGAGGGAGCTCTCAGCAGAGAGGGGAGCTATCTCTGGTTCCTCCAAGATGTGAAAGGCAGGTGCTCCTCACAGCCTGAGATCTTTGCCTCCCTGGGGCCTGCCAGCTCCTTGTCTCTGTCCTGCCCAAGTCTGCAGAGTAGTGCCTTCTTTGGAAAGGCCTCAGGTGAGCTGCTGGTGCTGGCTGGGAGCTGCATTCACCTTGGAGCTGCAGATGTTACGAGGGAGCCAGGTCCTGTGATACCAACAGTCCTCACACCTTCTAAGCACAGCCATGAGCCAACCTTCCTAGTGCCTTGGTGAGGCAGGGCAACTCCAGTAGGTCTCTTCACTGGTGCCGTAAAGGCCCAAACATCTGCTTCAGGCATGTTGGTAGGGAATTTAGGTACTCATAGGCTAAACCAGACATTCCCTCCTAGGCTCCCAGGGCTTTCCTCTGGTTCAGATGCTGTGGAGAGCCCCAAAGCCACTCGCCAGGCAGCCCCCAGGACAAGCTCCCATCTGCTAGCAGCACAGTGCTGGAGCCCTGTGCCACCTTCCTAGCACACAGTGAAATGCCTGGTTTCTTCCTACACAAGCGCTTCCTCTTCCTGGATGGACATCCAGACAGGGCTCTCCCTTCCTCTTCATGGTTAGTCTCTGGCTGCAAGTTGAGTCATGGAGCCTGCACCCGGGTCTGGAGCTCCCTGCAGCCCTCATAGTCCTGTCCCATTTCCCCAGTGTACCTCAGTTGGGTGTAGTGTGAGCAGCCAGTACCTCAGGAAACGTGCTAAGGAAGCCCTTTGTCCTTCTCTTAGGTGTCACCTACCTCAAGTTTCAGCGGCCGCAGGACTTTGACTACAAATCTGGGCAGTGGGTACGGATTGCCTGCTTGTCCCTGGGCACAAATGAGTACCATCCCTTCACCCTGACCTCTGCACCCCATGAGGATACGCTGAGCCTTCACATCCGAGCAGCTGGGCCCTGGACCACCCGGTTGCGGGAGCTGTACTCCCCTGAGAGCGTGGCTGAGATTGGCCAGTATCCCAAGGTAAAATCAGCATTTCCACCACAGTCAGCCCAGTGTGGGTTGCAGGGAACAGAGCTGCATCTTTGGGGGCGAAAGGCCTGTGGTGCATGGGCCTTCACAGTGTGCATCTCTGAGCTGGCTCACCAGTGAGCCCCAGCCTGGTATGGGGAGAAAGGGGATCCCCTCAGTTGCCAGTGCCTTTGAGCTAAGATGCCTGGATTGTTTGGAGCCACAAGGTCCAACCTTAGCTGGGCTGACTCAGTCTGTCACCTGAGTCATGACGGTACTTCGATAGCTGTGATGGTTTCCATGTGTGAGATGTCCAGTCCCTGGAAGGGCTGCCTGTCACAAGTCATGTACAGCTAACTATAGCCCAGCATAGCTAACACCCATCTTCTTTCCAGCTCTACCTGGACGGACCATTTGGTGAGGGCCACCAGGAGTGGAACAAGTTTGAGGTGTCTGTGCTGGTGGGAGGGGGCATTGGGGTCACACCCTTTGCCTCCATCCTCAAGGACCTGGTTTTCAAGTCATCGCTTAGCACTAAACTTCTGTGTAAGAAGGTAAGAGTCCTCCAGAGAGAGAGGACCCTCCTTGTGTCCTCCTGCCCCATGCTGAGTGGGAGGAACGGCTAGCAGAGACCACCCAGGTGTGAATTCTCAGGGGAGAGTGAGCAGAGGGCCAAGCTTGGCTGGCACTAACCACAGCTCCTGGGGGTGTAAGATCAGTGCCTTGCTGCCCTCAGAGCTGCTGCTTCTCCTATTGCTGTTCAGTTAGAATTGGCTGCAGGGGGCTACACTGCTGAAAACAACATCAGCCCCCACCACCATGTGCCTTTGCTGAGGACTTAACCTGGGGCAGTCCCTGTAGCTATGAATGGCTCACACACCCATCTGCCCTCAGAGCACCCAGTGGAAGCACCCACCTCTGTGCAGCCCCCTCAGCACAGAGTTTCCACCTTTGATTCCACAGCCAGGAATCTCTCCCAGGGCTAATGCAGGCTCCCCCAGGGCAGGGCCAACTTGGGGCAATCCCCAGGGCAGGATATGGCTGCAGGGTTCCTGGAGAAGCATCTGGTTTCTGTGCCTGACAGGACACGGACACTGTGGGAGTCCCCTAGAGCAGTGTCTAGCTGTCAGTTGCCCAGGACAGTGGCTGGTTGTGGGGTTCCCTGGTTAGGGTTCCTCAGGGGTGGGGGATGATGCTCTGCTCCCCCAGCCCTAGTGCTGACCCTTTTCCATCACTCCCAGATCTATTTCATCTGGGTGACGCGCACACAGCGGCAGTTTGAGTGGCTGGCCGACATCATTCGTGAGGTGGAGGAGAGCGACCAGCTTGGCCTGGTCTCCGTGCACATCTACATCACCCAGCTGGCTGAGAAGTTTGACTTGCGCACCACCATGCTGGTGAGTGCCCAGCACCGGGAAGGGGGAAGTCCAGGGTGGGGCCAGGCCAGGCCAGGCCAGGCCAGGGGCCAGTTTCTTCCCAGCTGGGGAGGGGCCAGAACCCCTTACACTACGGCACAAAGGAACCAGTCCCCGCCTCGGGGCAAGGAGCAAAGTGGGGCAATATCCAGCTTGCAAGCTAGGTCAGGCAAGGATGTGGGAACAAGGCAGGGCTGCACAGCCTTGATGCTCTGAGGCTGCTTCACAGCTCTTCTCACAGTGGGTCCTGCCCAGTGCCTGGGAAATGCATCGTGAGAGCAGCTATTATCCTCTCTGGGACAATGCTCAGGGCACAGGTCAGGACTGGTGATTGATGCTAGCTGAGGGCTCTCCTTGCCCCTCTGTGCCAGGCGTCCTCTTGTGCCCTGTGAGAGATGGGGAGGTCCTGTCCCAGGCTCCCCGTCCCTGTTCTGACTCATGGCTGCCCTTCTCTTTCCAGTACATCTGTGAGCGGCACTTCCAGAAGGTCCTGAACCGGAGCCTGTTCACGGGGCTGCGCTCCATCACGCACTTCGGGCGGCCTCCATTTGTACACTTCTTCAACTCCCTGCAGGATGTTCACCCCGAGGTCAGTGCCTGCTAGCCCTCAACCTCTGGGAACCTCTGACAATCCCATATTACAGTGGCTTTGAGGGCACTGGGATTATACTTAGCATTGTGAGCCCTGGCACAAAAAGGGCATGGGTCTAAGCACAGTGGGGCAGGGCTGGGGTGAAAGGAGTGTCCTGCAGGCTGGGTGACGTGCTGAAGCCATACTGAGGACAAGAGAGGCATCCTCTGCTCCCCACCTGCAGGGAGAGTGACCAGTCCTTACCTCAGCACATCTCCGCTGATTCAGGGTATACAAATCTCTTTCCGCCCCCCCATGGCAACACCAGAGCCAAAGGGCTTTGGACTCCACGGAAAAGCTTGCCACCAGTTCTGAGGCATTCACTGCACAGTGTCACCAGGACAGAGGAGGGCACCTTGCTAATCCAAGGGTTGACAGAGGTTTCTGGTCTTCAGACCCAAACTCCAACTCCCGCTCACTTCCTTGACAGACAGAAGTGAAATGACAAATTCCCAGTGGGATCAGCTCATTCCTAGTCATCTTGGGTCTGGGACTGACTAGACCCATGTGTGCAGAGTCCTCTGGCAGCCGGAAGTGCCAGTGCAGTTGAGGGTTGCCTGTGCACAGCTGTCCCAGACTAGGAGGCATTAGTCCCTTCCCCCTTTCCTCTCCTCCCTCCACAATCACTGACCAACTTGGCAGAGTTTAAAGAATGATGAAAGTCACTGGGAGTTGGGAGGGAAAAAAAAAAAAAAAAAGAAATCAGTGCATAGAGCTGAGAAAAGCTAGAGACAGTTATTCCAGCCAGAAGGAGTCCCAGGGGACCAGCGCTTGCCTACAGGGCTATGAAAGGCATGAGAGGCCTTGACATGAAGCAGCGGTGACTG